CGGGGTGGCGCTCCAGTGGCATCTGTTCTTGACGTCTGCCTTTGGGGTCACGGTTACCACGAGGGAGCCTAGTCCCGCACCTCAAGAATTTCTCGTTTTTCCTAAAAGCTTCAGAGACTTGTGTTCCCATGTAAACCTGTGTCCTGGCACAAGGCATCTGGGTGGTCAAGGGTCGCTGTCCCGTGGACACGCCTCCCCCCTTGAGGCACCCTGCTCGCTGTCAGCACCAGGAGCGGGTGTGTGAAGCTCTGGGCCACTGCCGGCCTCTGCATGTTCTAGAACTTGTCCACCGTCCCCCGACCCCCACAGGCTGCTGTGGCCCTGAGACGGGGCTCAGGAAGGGTTAAGTTTTGTGGCGGTGAGGCCAGCAGCCCCCCGAAGGGTGCGTCCCCCAAGCCCAGGGCCACTGGGGCTGTTTTAGCGTTTGGGCTCTCACCGTACACGGCGGTTGCCCGAGGAGCGAGGGAGTGTCCGGCTGGCCACTGGGTGGGCACCCGAGCCACAGAGGGGCCCCAGGATTCCTGCCACACAGGTGGGTGGCCAAGGCCAGCTGGGCTGTCAGGCGGTGAGGAGGGCTGCGGGGTGCCGTGGGAGGGGCGGGGGGGCAGCTGGGCCCAGCCCCAGCTCTGACTGACCGCTGGTCTGTTCCAGGGGGAAAGCGCGACGAGAAACTCATCCTGCCCATCAACTCCTCTCTGAGCGTCACCCTGCACCAGGACCAGGTGGGTGGGGGGCGCGGCCCCAGGCCCTGGTGCTGCCCGGGCAGCGCCACCCTCTGGACCCGTGGGGTGGCTTAGGGCCCTCCGCCGCCCAGCGGCCCGGACTCCGTGTGATGACCGGGAAGGCGGGTCCCCGCGCGGGCGCGGTCCTGGACGCGCCTCTGCCTCCTTCCTCCCAGTTGAAGACCACCACGACGGCCGCCATCAGCAAGGACTTCACCGAGGACCGGATCTGGCTGAATGGCCGGGAGCAGGACGTCCGGCAGCCTCGCTTGCAGGCGTGTCTCCAGGAGAGTGAGTGGCCCGTCCGCCCTGCCCTGAGGGCGCGGTGCCCTGCCCCGCCCCGCCCCCCGGTGGCCGCCTGACCGAGGCCCCGCAGTCCGCAGGCTGGCCCAGAAGCGCCGCAGCGGAGGCGGCGAGGACCCGGCCCTCAGCCTCGGCTACAAGGTCCACGTGGCGTCGGTGAACAACTTCCCCACCGCGGCCGGCCTGGCCTCCTCGGCCGCCGGCTACGCCTGCCTAGGTGGGTGCCCTTCCCGGACACGAGCCCTGGACCTGCGGGGGACCTGTGTCGGTGACAGAGCCCAGCTGGCTCGTGCTTGCTGAGGGACGGACCCCGGGCACCACCCTGGTGACGCTGGGCCTGGGGGCCGCAGCCACTGAGCTGGGGGCCGCAGCCACTGAGCTGGGGGCGGGCCCCGAGGTGCGGCCTGGCCTCTGGGCGCATGCCCGCGGGGCCTGAATCTCTTTGCCTGCCCGCAGCCTTCGCCCTGGCCCGCGTCTACGGGGTGCAGAGTGACCTCTCGGAGGTGGCCCGCCGCGGCTCGGGCAGCGCCTGCCGCAGCCTGCATGGGGGCTTTGTGGAGTGGCAGATGGGGGAGCGGGCAGACGGCCAGGACAGCGTCGCCCGGCAGGTGGCTCCCGAGTCGCACTGGCCAGAGCTCCGCGTCCTCATCCTGGTGGTGAGTGGGTGCGGCGGGCGTGGGGTCCGGGCGCAGCGGTGCGG